CAGGATCCACTCATCCACAATGGTCAAGAGGCCTGTCTTTAGGATTTCCTGTCGCACACCCTCTCTACCCCCATCATACCTCCAACCAAGCTGTGCTCAAATTAACACCAGCCGTGCACAAAATGTGAACTATTACACAAGACACACAGAAGGTCTAAGTGGAAAGTGGCAGCTGTTGATAGTGACTAACCTGTATATTTCATGAACTGACATGCAGGGATTTACCAGATAAAACAGAAGAATCAGCAGCTGGAAGAAGTGCTAACAATGCAGGACTCTGATAGGGTGTTTTGGAAACACAACATTTATTGTGAAATTACACAGACAGGAATGAAAAAAGGTGGTGAGGAGTACTATATCCTATTACTTAGAAGATTAAATAAAGGAAATCTCACCAAATTCATGGGGGAAAAAGCCAGATATATAATAAAAAATACACATAATGAACTTGACTCAGGAAATAAAATATGAATAAAGGCATAGTAGAAAGAACGTGGGGAGGAATGCCTATCAGAATATTGTAGACAAAAATACTCTTTGTGGAAGAACAATCTGAGGAAACAGGTACCACAAATACTGACTAAACCAAGAAAACCTATACAATGCAATTGAGGCTTCGATGGTGGTGTCTGATTATCTTATTTGAATGTAGAATTGTGGCCACTTAATTATCAGTGGTAAGAATTTGATATAATTCCTAAGAGAAATGAAGCAGTGGGTGAATTTTTTTTTCACCATCAAATTTTTATTGCCATGTTAAATATTGATTTCACCGTGGTGTCATGCTGGTGGATGAGCAGTGATTTGGATAGATATTGTCCCTTCCTTTCAGGGACTTGGGACCCAGGACTGACATATCATTGTGAATAGACACAAAAAGAAAATATATGGCTGCGTGCTTTGCACAAGTAAATATAGGGATGTTTTATAGTCTTCCCTCCATCACCTAGGGATATTATATACTTTGTAGATGAACAGTAGCAATATCTTAGTTCCAGACTCCCTGCTGTTACTTCACTCAAAGTACACAGCATCCCATTGTCATTGATTGTGTTGTGAGGCCAAACTTTTTCTTCCTGTTAGTCCAAATAAAATTAGTAGGCATATCTATTGCAAAAGAAATGATGACATACCTGCCTAAACTAAGAAGACTTAAAAAGTCCTCTTCTTTGTGCCTTCTCTGGGCTGTAACAATGTATAAAACCCTGTAGCACAGTGAGGGATATGGCAGGCACTTGGAGAATTTATTTTTTTCCTTAATATTTTATTGTGAAAAATTTTCCACACACAGAAATGTTGCAAAAATTGTATCATACCCATAAACTCTTCACCTAGATTTAATGATTGTGCATCATTGACCTTAGTTGCTTGTTTCTTTCTAGGTGTATATATGTATATAATTCACCATGGTGTCATATATATATAATATCTATATATAAAATATATATATAATATATATGTACAAACTATTTGAATGTAAGTTGCAGATATATTGACACTGTGCCACTAAATGCTTCAGCCTGCAGCTCTGAAGAACAAGGACACTCTCTTATATGTCAACAATACCATTATCACCTCCTGCATCAGAAACTCAAATTCAGTGATTCCACAATATTATCTAATAGTTAATCCACATTCACCCTCCCCAATTCTTCCAAATACTTCTTTCTGGCTTTCTTGTTTCCAAACTAGACATTAATCAAGGGTTGCACATTGCATTCAGTTGAGTCTCTTTAGTTTGTTTTGATCTAGAAGAGTTCCCTCATTCATTCATTCATTCATTCATTTCTTCATGCATTTTTATAACACTGATATTTTGAAGCAGCTAGGCAAGTTGCCTTTAAGAATATCTCACATTCTGAATTCGTATGATTGCCTCCTCGTGGTGCCATTTAACTCGTGGAACATGTATTCTTTTAGGATTCTTCCCCTCCCCTGTGTTTATGAATTGTCAAGTTGTCATCAGCCAGTGCATTTGATGGTGGTGAGTGACAGGGGGACGTGAACAGTCCTGCAGGTTGGCAGACCTGTAATATTTTTTTATTACTATACTTTAAGTTCTAGGGTACGTGTGCTCAACGTGCAGGTTTGTTACATATGTATACATGTGTCATGTTGGTGTGCTGCACCCATGAACTCATCATTTACATTAGGTATATCTCCTAAAGCTATCCCTCCCTGCATCCCGTGACAGGCCCCGGTGTGTGGCATTCCCATTCCTGTGTCCAAGTGTTCTCATTGTTCAATTCCCACCTATGGTGAGAATATACAATGTTTGGTTTTCTCGTCCCTGTGATAGTTTGCTGAGAATGATGCTTTCCAGCTTCATCCGTGTCCCTACAGATGACATGAACTCATCCTTTTTTATGGCGGCATAGTATTCCACAGTGTATATGTGCCACATTTTCTTAATCCAGTCTATCATTGATGGGCATTTGGGTTGGTTCCAAGTCTTTGCTATTGTAAATAGAATTCCCTTTCCTAGCCAAGGGAAGCTGTGAGATATGGCACCGGGAAAATCAGGTCACTCCCACCCTAATACTGTGTTTTTCCAATGGTCTTAGCTAATGGCACAGGAGTGGGTGAATTTTATAGAATATTCTAGAGAAAGGGAAGAGCATGAAGGAAGTTTTAGTGACACGACATCACATGGCTCCCTTATAGAACTCTGTATTCAGTTTTCTCAGCTCTAGAAATTTCCTGGTGGTTTCTGTGTCCATTTTGCTTTATTGGCCTTTAAAATTCTTTTAAATTCTTTTAAATACAGAATTTTAGCCTTCCTGTGTTGTACAGCACCAAGCCTTGCCTGAGCTGAGTGAGATCCACATAAGCTTGTACAATAGCTGTAGCCTGAGCAGGCTGCGGGGCAGCATTCTGTCATCTTTGTGTGCCCAGGAGTGTGCTGTCCTCACACATCTCACATATAGCAGAAGCCATCTCTATCGCATCAAAAATTTAGATAATTTTTATCTTCCCTCAATCACCTCACAAGAGAGGGACATAGGCCAAAAAAGATCCAGAGATATTGACCATCTTCACTGCTGGTTGTAGCATCGCTGCTGACATACACATAAACAGAAATAAATAGCACAGTGGAAAGCGGATAATAGTCTTATGTAAAAGATTGAAACTCTCATGGTATCTAAAGTTCAATTATGACACAGTGCTGGCGGCTTGGACACAGTTCCTTGAAAACCATAGTTCAAGTCCTAATTGTACCTTTTAGAAAGAAGACACTAGCAACATATCCGACCCAACCCATCCCTCTGGGTTAGAGTATCAAAGAGAAATAAGGGATACGCATGACCTGCAGCGAACAAAGCAGAACCCAGTCTTTGAGGTGGTGAGGCCCCACCAGTGTGGAGCTCAAAGGTGTCATTGTTCTGATCCTCTTTATAAAGGGAGCTGCCCCGTTCCTCCCAGCACAGAGTTGGGAGCACCTCCAAAGACTCCTGCAAGATGCTGTTGATTCTGCTGTCAGTGGCCCTGCTGGCCCTGAGCTCAGCTCAGAATTTAAATGAAGGTAAAACAGAAGGGGGAGAAGATGCGGTGACCCTGATTGGGGCTTAGGAGGTGGTAATGGTAATTAGGGGGAAGAGAAGAGAATGAAAACCCAGATGGGGCTGCAGAGTTTTCATGCCTGGGATCAGGAGACCGATTGCACCCTCATTCCACACTAAGGGTTTCTAATTTATTTAATGTACAATGAAATCCAATAAAGAATTTGTTCCAGGGGAATGAGAAGGTAAGATTTGCATTTATAGAGAGATATGACTGTGCTGTGAAGGATGCAGTGGAGAATGCAAGGCAGATTCAGAGAAGTCCAGTTGTGAGCATCCTATACTGATCTCATTAAGTACAGAGGGATGATGGTGGCTTTGCTGTGCGGTGGATCAGCATGGATGATGGAAATAAACACACATCAGAGATACTGCAGAGACAGAACTGGATGGGACACTTGTGTCTGTCTAACTAGAGATCTAGAAATATCAGAGCCAATGATTGTCATTTATCTCTCCCCTACATGCTGTATTTCAATGTGCTGGGAGTGGGATGGGTAAGATTGTATTGAAATGATTACTTCTGGTTACGCCAATTGAGAAAGCATGCTTACATAAGCAATGTATTTCTAGGAGGTGGAGGGCATAAGAATACCAAACTATCACATTGAAATCCCTGGCATGTGTAAACTAAATCCGCATTAAGTCTTGAGGATGCTAGGGAGGGAAAAAAGGGGCTCTTCTATGTTGAGTTCATGGTTGTTGCTCTGTGTCGTAACAACCGTGCCTCATCTTACAGCTTCCTCCCCTTTCAGCAGCTTCACAGACAGTGGCTGACGAGTTAACTTAGGGGATTCATGGGGTGGTGAGAAGACCCTTTTCCCTGTAGAACACTTGTGAGTCTTGAAAGATTCGAGATGGAACTTTTCCCATCATCCTGTGTTTCTCTTCTAGATGTCGGCCAGGAAGAATCTCCCTCCCTAATATCAGGTAAATCCCAATTTATTCTCAATCTGTTTTAACTGTCTTTTTCTGCTCATGAATGGATCAGCTCTCCAGTGTCTTCTTATCAATACTTTCCCTTCAGGAATTGATTAATGTTAGTGCCACTAATAAGAGGCAGTCTCCATGCAAGCTTGATTCTGGGGACCGTGAGCAGGCCACCAAATTGAATGGCAGAGATGCTTGGCTTAGATGACAACAGAAGTGGGTTGACTCATCCCCCTGGCCAGGAGTGCCTCCTGGGAGATGACAGACGACTGGGCAGCATCCTCATTCTCACTCATCTTTATACTGAGAGTCCCCCAACTGCTTTGTTCTTCCCCAGCGTTCTATTCCAGAGATCGATGTCTTCACCGAAAATGCAAAGAAATTAGTGTCTTGGTCCCATTGTTGTGCGTTTCCCCCCTCAGCTTGTTACCCTAGCTGATCAAAATTTACTGCAACTATTCAGTGAATCTTGTGTGGGCTTTTACTCTGTCTTTCCCTTTTCTCTTTCTCCTCCAGAACATCAACAAGGACAACCCCAGCAAGGAGGCAACAAACCTCAAGGTCCCCCACCTTCAGGAGGGCCACAAGGACCACCCCAACAAGGAGGCAAGAAACCTCAAGGTCCCCCACCTCCAGGAAAGCCACCAAAGACCACGCCCAACAAGGAGGCAACAGACCTCAAGGTCCCCCACCTCCAGGAAGGCCACAAGGACCACCCCAACAAGGAGGCAACAGACATCAAGGTCCCCCACAACCAGGAAGGCCACAAGGACCACCCCAACAAGGAGGCAACAGACCTCAAGGTCCCCCACCTCCAGGAAGGCCCCAGGGACCACCATCCCCTCCTCAAGGGGGCAGACCCGCCGGACCTCCCCAGGGACAGTCTCCCCAGTAATCTAGGATTCAATGACAGGTATGATTCCAGCTGATTCTTCACCAAGTGCTCTAATTGCTACGGGTCTCCAGCCTTACTGTGACAAAGAATCAACTAAAAGCCCATTGACATTGTATTGTCCTAGAACCCATTTCTAAAGATTTGTGTTCAGCTATTCTGGAAATGGGTAACAAGGCCCTATATTTGTAACAAGCTCTTGAAGGAATTCTCATGTTGAGAAACAACGTTCCAAATAATCTGTCTTAAATTGTATTGGCAATGAGGAAGTAGTACCATGTTCGCTCTGGCACTCTGTTTTCTGTCCACAAACTCACAGACCTCCCATTTAAAGTTTTCACCTGAGCACTGTTTGCTCCGTCTGGCCTTACATCAGCCTCTCTAGTCCAGTATTCCTGCCAAGTGCTCCCTGAACTTTCAGCAGCTAAATGGTGTCTCATGTTTTAAATTCTTACTTTTCAGTAAGTACGTGATTAAGCTTGCAACAAATATCTAATGGAATGGAAAAATATAAAACTAAATTTAAAGGCATAATTCATCCTACCAGCCTTCTCTCCTTCAGAAAACTACCACTGTTAACTTAATGGCATCTTCTCTTTGAAATATTTATGTGTACGTAAACAATTAGAATAGTTTTCCCTCAGAACTAAGATCATAACTTATATGCAGGTACATATGTTAGTCATTTAAATAATACATTTCTTTGGACATTTCTACATGAGTAAATCTCTTCAGTGGTTATCTGTTTGCTTTGACAATTTTACGCCATTCCATTATGTGGTTGCACCGTGATTTCTTTAACCAATCCTTGTCACTGGACACTGAGGGTGGTTTCAGCTTCTCACTATTATAGAATATGTTCCAGTTACCACTGTATAAATATATCCCTGAACAAATTCAGCAGCAAGTAATAACAAGCCAAGAATGATCTTATCTTTTGATCACATCAGGAACAATTTGGAGCACACTTTGTGCAAAGGAAGGGCATCAAAATAGTGAGCACACAAAAACTTAGGAAGGAAACACAGGAGGTAGAAGGGATGGGGAGAGAGGGGATGGGCTCTCATGTACTCTACTGCAGTAACACCAGGGAGGAATTAGACATTTCCTGCCATGTCAAGTCTGGTCTATGAACTTCCTTGTCTGTTTGTTTCAGGAAATGAATAAGAAGACGATAGTGATTCAAATGATTCAAATGCCATGACGTTGGAAGAAGGTGGTCATAGCTCTAACTTCAATATACCAATAAAATAATCAGCTTGCAATTTCTGATTGTGGTGTCTGTTTCTCAATGTTTGTGAATGTGGGATCTGAGAACCAAGAGGACATTCTAAGAACATCTAGGAACCCTTCTCCTTGATGCTCCAGGAAGCTTCCCTCCTGCTTAATCCTAATTTAGCCAGCTGCCGTGAAAAAAGGTTTTAGTGTTTCTCTACATCCCTGACTTCTATTTTTTTCCCCCATGAGATGGAATTTTTTTCACCCAGGCTGGAGTGCGGTGGCACGATCTCGGCCCACTGCCACTGCATCTCCTGGGTTCAAGCTATTCTCCTGCCTCAGCCTTCCAAGTATCTGAGGTTATAGGTGCCCACCATCATGCATGGCTAATTTTTGTATTTTTGGTAGAAATGGAGTTTCACCATGTTGCCCAGGCTGGTCTCCATCTCCTGACCTCAGGTGATCCACTTGCCTTGGCCTCCAAAACTGCTGGGATTATAGGTGTGAACCACCATGCCTGGCCCTTCCCGGACCTGTGTAGCAGAAATAGAAATTTTAAAATTATTTTCAGATTGTTTACTGATATTCCGGTAATCTTAAGGACAAAAAACACAACAAGTGCAAAAAAGTCACAGAAGTTGAAAGAAATTCTTACAATTTCTAAGAAATTGAGTTCGGTTTCAAAGGAATGAATATGGTTCTATGCTTCTTATCCCCACAACCCTCTCTATCACATTTACCCTATTTTATCCGTGATCACTTCTCTCCCTTTCCATGTTCCTCACCATTCTTTAGTGAAACCTGAATGGATTTCATTAAAGAATCAACATGATTGTAAGGAGCAAAGAATTTGGACACGCTCAGATTTTAATTAAGACCTAACTCTTTTTCTTTCTGTCTCTTGACTCTTAAAAGGCTACTTAGACTCTCTGGGCTTCAATTTCCTCATCTAAAATGAGAATAATCATAACAACTCCCTTAGAGTATGGAGGCTAATGAGATAACATCCATACCAAAAACCTTGCAGGGACTGGCATGTCTGCTTCTCAAGCAAGGAAGGTTGAATATTAGAAATTGCTTCTTTGCCCACTGACAGCCTCAGATAATTCACTAAGAAGTCAGAAAAATCAGAACGGAATGATCTCACCATAACCACCACTAAGTTGAGCAACCCATCTTCAGTTGAAGCCCAGGTCTCTGGCTTCTCCTCTATTATCATAGGGAAAGCCTTCCTACCCCTACCTCTTAATATCCCTCCTGATCCAGAACCACATTTCCCCATCAAGGATTTTGCTTCTGCATGTGACCCTTTTGTCTCCTGATTCTTACATCTATTATTTCAATCAGCCAAAGTCTGCTGAAACGTCACCCATTTCTATAGAAGTCTTCCTAAGACTCTTAGTGCTTCTTTCCTACCATATTATTTGTCTCCCGTTTTATTGCAAAAGTTCTTCAAACTTATGTATGTGATTATTTCCCCATCTCCCCACTTCCAATGTTTCCTTATGCACACCTTATAGATGCTTTTGTTCTTTCTAGTTCCAGTCTGTGAAGGTCATCTACGGCCTCCATTCCACACATTTCAGGAATCATTTCTTAGTCTTGCATGTCTTCCTTCCCCTCAGAAGTTTAACACCATTGATCCTACCCTTCTTTTGGGACCACTCTATCAATCTTTCCAGGAATCTCCCCCTCTCTCCCAGGGTTTCTCCTACCTCTGCCTCTTCCCTCCTACAGGTACAAAGTTCTTCCTCTTTCAATTCTTTTTTTGTCTTGATAAAGAATTCATCTAATTAATTAAGCAAACTAGGATTTTTTTCTTGACTCTTTTCCTTTCATCACATTACATCTAGTCAAATAAGCTATGTTATCATTGTGAAGTTCAAGCTTCAAAATAATTTCCTACTGCAGTCTGTTTCATCACTTTCATCTCTATCAGCCCACCTCAGGAAGCCTCATCTGCAGTTTACATCAAAGAGTTCTATTTATTTCCAAACAGTCAATTACCCAACTTGGCCATTTAAAAATTATGTTACCTTTCTGTGTTTTCCAGTTGATTGCTACCACTTTTACTCTGTAAGAATCGGATGCTTTTTAAATTTGTTTTTGAGACAGAGTGTTGCTCTGTTTTCCAGGCTGGAGTGCCGGGGCAAGCTCTCAGCTCACTGCAACCTCCGCCTCCTAGGTTCAAGAGATTCTACTGCCTCAGGCTGCTGAATAGCTGGGATTACATGTGTGTGCCACCACACCCAGCTAATTTTTTGTATTTTTAGTAGAGTCGGGGTTTCACTAAGTTGGCCAGCCTTGTCTCAAACTCCTGACCTTGTGAACCACCTGCCTCAAACTCCCAAAGAGCTGGGATTACAGATGTGAGCCACTGCACCCAGCTGCTAATTTTTACCTATGCTAAAGGGCTATGTATTGCCCCCTAACTCTCCGTGTAACTGGGGGATGCTCTACACCTAATTCATTCTGCTATGGCCACACTGGTCATTGTCTTCTTTTTATGATGGTGTAGGGAAACAGTATGCTTAGATTTTCTGTTAATGAAAATAAATATTTTTGCACAAATGCAAGTTTGATTTTGTTACACTGATGGCGTAGTGCTTAAGTGAAGGCATTACGGTACTCATCGCTCAAATAACAAACACGGTATTTATGAATACCTCACTATACAATCCCTCTGCCTCCCATACTCCCAAGTATTCATTATCTATCATTTCACTCTCTACATCCACGCAAACATGTTCTTAGCAACCACTTACCAGTGAGAACATATTATATTTGATTTTCTATACCTAGCCTGTTTTGCTTAAGAAAATGACTCCCATTTCCATGCATATTGTCACAATATGTGTGATTTTATTCTCTCCTTCTGACTGAGTAGTATGGTATTGTATATATATAATTGCATTTTAATCCAACCAATCATTGACGGATACATTGTAGATTCAGTATCTTTGTTACTGTGAATGTTGCTACAGTAAACATACAGATAAAGGTATATATTTGATACATTGACTACTTTTCCTTTGAGGAGATACCTAGTAGTAGGATTGCTCAATGGAAATGTAGTTCTAGCTTTAGTTCTTTGAGAAATCTTACTGTTTTCCACAGAAGCTGTACTAATTTACATTCCCACCAAGGGTGTGTAAGAGTCCTTTCTCCATATCCTTGCCAACAGCTGTTATTTTTTCACTCTTTTATTCACAGTCATTCTGACTGAGGTAAGATGGTATCTCATTGTGGTTTTCATTCACATTACTCTGACATTTAGTGATGTTGCACATGTTTTCATTTACTGTTGTCCATTTGTATGTCTTCTTTTGAAACACATCTATTCATGTCCTCTGTCTATATTTAATTGATTTTTGTTTTTGTCGTTGAGTAGTTTGAGTTCCTTGTATACTCTGCATATTAGTTCCCTGTAGGATGCATAGTTTACAAATATTTTCCCTCTGCAGGTTGTCTGTTGACACTGTTGATTTATTTTGTTTGTAGAATATTTTAGCTAAATTAAGTGCCATTTGTCCAATTTGGTATATGTTGCCTGTGGTTTTCAGGTGTGACCTTCACAGTTAAATGATTACCTGAGTGGATATAGGATTCTAGTTTGATTGTTACTTTTACATGGAGTTTTTAAACCCCTCTTCCACCACAGCAGCAAGGAACCATCTTGGAAGCAAAGAGAAGCCCTCACCAAATACTGAATCTGTTGATGCCTTAATCTTGGACTTCCTGGCCTACAGAACATTGGGGAAGAAATTTCTGTTCTTTAATCATGACCCAGTCTACAGTCTTGTTAGAGCAGTAGAAATGGACTAACACACAACCCCATCTGAGTTCTAATTAGTAAACATACATCTAAAAACCAAAACAAAATGAAACAACAGCAAAACAACAGGGTTGGACTGTCTTCTGACCTCTGTTTATCCATTTAGTTTCTGATTCTCTATATCTTCCAAATTGGACAAATGACAATTTATCTAAAATATTCTACAAACAAAATAAATCATCAGTGTCAACAGACAACGTGCAGAGGGAAAATATTTGTAAACTATGCATCCTACAGGGAACTAATATGCAGAGTATACAAGGAACTCAAACTACTCAACAACAACAACAAAAATTAATTAAAAATTTACATTCCCACCAAGGGTGTGTAAGAGTTCCTTCTCCATATCCTTGCCAACAGCTGTTATTATTCACTCTTTTATTCACAGTCTTTCTGAGTGAGGTAAGATGAGATCTCATTGTGGTTTTCATTCAGATTCCTCTGACAATTAGTGATGTTGAACATTTCTATGACTGCTTTTCCAAAGCGGCATCTTCAAGATCTTTCTTATCCGTAAGATTTAATTAGATATAAGTCGACATAGGCCTTTTTCATTTACTGTGCTGGTCACTGTGTATTTCAAGAAGGTCTCCCATGCTGGGCCCTGCAGTTGAGAGTGGGCCCCACAGAAATACCAAAATCAAAGGCATTGTTCATTCCTTTTATCCTCATTAGTGTGTATTTTAAAAGTTCAGCCACAAATAAAACATAGAAATTATAGGAGCAGGCACAGGCTGAGCTAACTGCTCTTCCAGGCCTGCTGGGGCAGGGGAAGAATTTGAAAAAACAATAAATTCACTGTTTCTACTCAAAGAGAATCAACTGAATTAGAGTAAGTGGTACTTTATCAAATCCTGGATGACTATCTTCACACACACTACTGAAACAAATAGTTGAGAAGAGTAAGGTTACGTATCCTGTCTGTGGGAGGAAAACATGGGTGTCCCAAAGATGTTCACATTCTAAGGAGTATATTTTGTGTAACGTTTAAAGGAAAGACATGACTGGAGAATTCTTTGTACATGTTTATAGGATTTAGGAAGAAACGTATTTATTCAGGAAAAGAGTTTTTATTACCTCATCTTTAAGGTTTCAGGGCAAGTTTTGCCTTACCCATTTCCTATCACTTGTACCTGAGTTTCTTTTGTGGACCTGGTTTCTTCTGACTTTCTTTGAAGTAAATGAATATAAAAGTAAATAGCAAGAAAGAGGTGGAGTA